ACAGGCAGGAGAGGGCATGACTTTGTTTTTGTTTGTCTTTTTCCTTTCCCAGCTCATTGGGGGCTTTTAAATCAGATCCCACTTCCCCACCGCTTCCGAGGCCAGGGGGAGCTAGAATGGGAGGACACGCTGTTTCCTTCCCGACTAGAAGAATGGGAAGAAATGGCATCTCAGTGGGCTTTGGGACATCGCAGCTCCCCTGAGGGGCCCCTCTGGGTGCGGCAATGGATTGAGGAGAAGGGGAGGTAGGAGGGAAAAGGGCTCCAGGGGAGAGCTGGCTCCTACCTGTGCTGGACCGGGCCTTGGGCCTGGACTTGCATCCGAAGCCGGTGGGGGAGCCGCCCAGCAGGCTGCTGGGGGGGAAGAGTCCAGAGCTGTACTCGGGCACGTAGGGCGGGTAGGTGGTGATGGGGTGGTGGGCTGACGAAGAGGCGCCCCCCAGGGCTGTCATGCTGCCACGGGAGTGCGAGGACTCCAGCTTCATGCTGTCGGGCAGCGGCACCTGGTACTTGAGGCACTCTTTCTCATCCTGCCGGGCCGAGCCGGCTGAGCCCGGGGTGGACAGCGACGGGTCTGGGGAGACGTCCTTCGGTGGGGTGGGCGGGAAGGTGAAGAGGTGCGGGCTGGCGTGGCCCCCCGACAGGGAGGAGGATGAGGCTGGGGGGTAGACGGAGAGGGGCCCCGGGGAGCCGTGGTGAATGGACGTCTTGGAGAAGGGGCTGAGGTTCCAGGGGGAGGCAGTGTGGTGGCTGCCCAGGGCTTTCCCACCGTCCAGCCAGGGCAGAGATCCGTGAAGCAGAGGCGGTCGGCACACCTGGCTCCCTGTGGGGCAGCAGGGAAAGGGCAGGAGAGAGAAGGAGAGTAAGTGTGACCCTGGGAGGCCATCAGGAGCACCTGGGTACTCTCTCCCTCACACCAGCCTCCTTTTCAGCAAAAGCCCAGGCCCACTCTCCCTTCCCAGCGGCCCCAGGAGTACCTGCTGGGCACACCTGGGGATCAGGCAAGGGGGCAGAATCCTCACCCCTAGCTCCCACACGGATGTCCCATCAAATCCAGCAGAATGAAGGGCCTGCAGCTGACACCCGAGAGGGGCTGCGGAGTGAAGGGCCCCTTTGCTTATTAGGCCTCTCCAGATCCACCGTCTCAGTCACATCCCCCCAGGCCTCTCTCTAGAACCTGACTTGATTTATGAGTTTCCTTCAATGGCCCTGAGTTCCCCGGCTCGGACTTAATCCCAGCCAGCCTGATAAGAGAGCCGGCTGTGAGTGATGAGGCCTGAAGGATGGAGCCTGGCCACACAACTGCTCACACCAGAAAACCAACCCTGGAGAGAGGCCCAGCTCCCAGCGCCCAATGCAGGAAGCAGAGGCCTTGGGACAGCAGTCAGGAGACTTTCAGGGTTTGTTTCCAGAAACCTAGCACAGTGCTTGCTCAAACCAGGCTGCCTGCAAAAGGCCTGAAATGGGATTTGCAGGGAAATGTTAATTGCTCGGGCTTTTGGAGAAAGTTCCCAAGCCTGGACCCTGGGATGGCTCTTTCTCTGCTTTTCTCACCCTCCCAAATCCTATAGGAGACAAAGATAACATAAGTCCATGTGCCCTCCATAAAGCTATGATCCCCCCAGTGCGATATATGAATTTTCACCTGAGCCCCTAAGACACGAAATTCCAGTTGATGTGTCCATTTTAAATCAAAGATGACTCGGACACAGAGTCTGTTTAGCCTTCATTTCAAACACACAATCTTAAGGTAGCTGCAACTCATACACTCTGAGGGGTACATTTAAAAAGCAAGTGCAAATCCACACGATTATTGATCTTTAAATCTGGTACCTGCCTCAGCATTTGACATTCAACCATTAAGAACAATACTGAAACTAAAATCTTAAGAGAGAGGAAGGGGAGGAGAGTGGAGAGGGAAAGAGAGTTCTCTGAACACCAAGGGTCAAGATTCATATTATGCAGGAAGTACTATAGTAAATAATATTAAGTCTGCTCTACCGCATTTCCACTTAACTGCTGAGCTGCACAGAATGTGGGCAAAGAGCGCCCCATCCGCAGAAACGATCGTTGAAAACCTGGCGACAGCAGGGTAGAGGACGCCTGCTGCCGGAGGGGCTGTGTCATCCGTGCCAAGGCAGGCTCTGAGGAGGAGATCAGGGCAGACTTCGGTCTGGCTAGACTCAGAAAGCCTCACACTTTTTCTGCCCAATACTTGGGCCTGTTTCTTCTTTAGGAAGAAACTTACAGCTGGAAAGGGTTCGATATTTGTTCCTCAAACGACACAGGCCTGGTTTTCTTTTTTACTTTTCGGAACGCTCCTAAATTTCTCCAGGTGAAAGAGGGAAAGAGATGGTACTGGAATTGCCTCTATTTAAACTGGGGTGTATCCTGCATCTTAGGTGGGAGCCTAGTCGGGGGCAGTACCCAGAGACAGGGTAAAGCAAGAGTTGCAGGCAAGGAGGCAACTGGAAAGCAAAGACGCAGGAAAATTCTGTGCAGCCGGGAATCCGGGAAACCTCAGAGCCCTCAAACTTTAGACAAGGGTCTTCCCCCGAAAACTGCTTCAGAATCGGAATTCCATTCCTGAAGCCAAGAGGTAGGAGACCTGTCTAAAAACCAAAGGCACCAGCTTTGGAAAAAGGTTAAGGAGAGGGGTGTGAATAAATAAGTCTCTGGGGGCCTTTCTGAAAATGTGCGAATTGAGGGACGCTGGGAGAGGCCCCCCTAGAAAGAGCTAGCCGGTAACAGGGAACGCCAGTTTTTTTGGAGGAGCCGGGTTCCAGCCGGGCTTGGCCAGCGCCGGCTACCGGGCCCAGAGAGCCCGGACCCGCGGAGGCAGAGCCCGGGCACCCCGCGCCTGGGGACATCCCGGGACACCCCAAAACGTGCAGCTGTGCGGGGACGGAGGGCTGCGGCCTGGCGCCCGCCAGGTGAGCGCCAGGCCTCAGGGCCACCAGCCGGGAGAGGCGCCTGCTGCGACTCTTTCAAAACACACTCTCGCGACCAGCCAGAGGCCTTCCTCGCCCATTTCCGGGCCCCAATTTTTTTGTAAATGAACCAGGAACGGCGGACTGGGGCTTTCGCTGGGCCTCCCCCGCCCTCATGTTCCTCCCGACCTCCCCGAGCTGGGACGGCGGACGCGGCCGGCGGGAGTCCCCGCACCGCGGGCGCACTCACCGTGGTGAGTCGGAGGGTACCTCTGCACCGTGGCCCTGACCGAGTTTCCGTAGTAGGGAGGGACGTGGTTGCCTTGGCCGTCGATGTTAAAAAGCACATCCACCTCCTCTGGCAGCGGGTACTGCGCCGGGTCCATGTAGGAGTGGCCGAGGCCCGGGTGGTGAGTGTCCGGGTGCTGCCCGTTGAGCACGGCGGGGTGGTGGTGGCTCACCCAGCGCGGCTGGTCCGCCGTCACCTCCATGGCCTCGGCTGCGCTCGCGCCCTCTCGCCGGGCCCGGAACCCGCGCGCGGAGAGGGAGGGCGGTCGGCCTGGGAGGTCGGGGGCTCCTGCCGTCGGAGGGTCGGGGGTCGTTGAATGATTTGCTTTCGGTCGGGGGATGGGAAGGCTGGGAAGGAAAGGCGAGCAAAGGAGAGGGTTTTTACAAAATAATCTTGGAGGGGTTGTTTAGCAAAGAGAAGAAGGGGAAGGCAAAAATCCAAAAACTGGGTACGGCAGGATAAAAGGGGACCAGGTGGTAAAAGGGGGCGACGACTCTGGAATTCTGCGAGACAGGCTCCTCTGCACCGGGGTCTTCAGCCGCTCCGAGGCGGAGTCCCTCCTAGGGTCACCTGCAAGGGAGAGAAGGGGAGACGTGGGTGAGCCCCCGAGTTGCTGGAGTGGCACAACCTCGCCTCGCGCCGCCCGCCCGCCCCGCGCAACCGGGACCCGCACCGGCGCGCGGGGACACAGCCGGGGAGCCTGCAGGACTCTGGGATGTCCCCGCAGCGCAGCTCGCGGGAGCCAGGACTGACTGAGCAACCTGGAGGACAAGTCGCGGGGCTGACTTTTGCAACTTGGAGGACAAGTCCCTCCCTTGGGGACGCCAGTCCCGGGACTGTCCTCCCAGCCCCTAGAAAACCTCCAAAAGAGGAGAGATGAGTTTTTAAAATTTCCTTAAGTCCTCCCAAGTGGATGGGTTGTGGGGCAATCAAACTTAATAAAAAAAAAAAAAAAAAAGTCAGCAGTACCAACCTGGGTAGCGAAGAGCAGAGAGGAGGAGGAGGCGGCGGCGTACAACCGGCTCGGTCAGATTGCGTGGCTCGCTCTGTCTCGCTCTCTCTCCGTCTCTCTCTCTTCTCCTCTCTCCCTCTCTCCGTTTTTTTTTTTTTTTTTTTTTTTTTTTTACAGGGAATGCATTCTTTCTGAAAGTATCAAGACGGCGCCAGGCAGCTCAGTGTTCGCAGACAGCTGTGGCGCGACGCAACTTAAGGAGGTTCTAGTGTCATCCGCGCCGAGGGGGGAGGAGCCTGGCGCTGGCGAGTAGGGGACAGGATCCCCGGCACACGGAAACTGCAACCCAAACCCGCTCCAGGACTTCTCCCCCCGCCCCGCGCACCCCCGCCCCTCCTCCCGCCCCTCCACTGACCGGAAAGCGGCGCCGCGGAGGGCGGCCGCGGGCGGAGGGGCGGCAGGCAGGGTGGGCGAAGCCCGGGGGGCTCGGGGGCGGACGGGAGGGAACGCTCGCTCTGGCCCTTTAAATGTGGCCGCGGCTCCTGCGGATTCATTCGGGCCGGGTGGACGAACTACGCCCTGGTGCAGGCAGCCTGCCCCACTCATGAAGTTCATTCCGCTGGGCCGACTTTTCTTTTTCAGACTTTCAACAAATGGGCAAGCATGGATCGTGATTAGGATCCAGGGCAGGGTGTTTGGGAGAACGCATGTATGTGGGGAGACCTGCGCGTGAAACTGACCAGAAAAACAAAATGTTTCTAGTCAAGGTACTTTGAGATGTGCCTTTTGAGCCGATTTCCTAAGAGGGTGAGGCATCGGGTAAAGGGGAGATGCTCCGACGGGAGCGTCCGTGTCACTGTTGTTGTCATTGTCACCTCTTTCCCGAGCCTTCTGCGCTCTCGAGCCCCCGGAGTGAACGCTCTTCAGCTGTCGCAGCTGCCCTTTCCAGACCTAATATTTGTGATCAGTGTGTGCTTCTGACTTGAGTGGCAACGGTGAGGGATGAGAAGGGGGAGGGGAGGAAGAGACTGGCTCTAACTCGCCCCTCCACCTCCGAGTGCGCTCGGTGTAGACAGAGAAAGAACTCGGTCTTCACTCCAGGGACCCAACTTTTCCTTTCGCCCAGCCCGGAGCCCTACTTACTCCGGCTCCCGAAGTTTCTCCCCCAGTCGAGGAAACCAGCCCTCGGTCTGCACCGACCCCAACCCCGGCCTCCGGGCGGGACTCCACGGCGACCTTCCCCAGCGCGCGGGTCCCCAGGCCAAGCTCTGCGCTACGGGCACTCCGGGCGGAGGGCATGCGGCTCCGCGGCGCCCCGGCGAGCGGGGCGGGGCGAGCGGGGGCGGGGCCCGGAGGGGCCAATCAGCGGGCGAGGCTGCGGCCGTGCCGCGATTGGTCCGCCCCGCGGGCTCCAACCTGCTCTGCCCGCTCGGTCCTTTGAGCCACTGCATCCCCTAGCGGCGCCCTGGTGGCTGCAGCCGCTGGACCGAAAACGCTGCCCGGGCGAGCAGGGGTCAAGCGGGAAAAGAAGACTCCAAATCCACTCTCTCTTCGCCCCAGGGCAATGCTGGGAGGAGAGGGAGTGGGTGCTCCCGCAGGCTATCCCAGGGACGGGGCAGAGAGCTTAATTGGGGGTTTTATTTGAATTGGAGACATAGTTCCCTCTTCGATCCTCTACCCCATAAAATTCCCTACAAATGCAAAAATTCGAGATAGAAGAAGACGTCCCTGAAAGTAAGTTCTGAAGGATTCCCTTCATGCGGTGAAGGAAAACTATCAATATGCAGCTTCAACTTGGCGTGTGGGGGTTGTCGTGTTTTAAAACACGATCCCTGTAGAAATATTAGTAAAACATATTGGAAGCAGTAGTGGAAACGTGGGTCTTCCTGGTCTTGCGTTTGGATCTTCTTTGGAGTCACCTTCTTAAATGTGATGTTTGTTTGAAATCAGAGCTGAATTTTCATATACAGGACAAAAAGAAAGAACCCCAATTTTTTTAAAGACAGCTCTCCCCCCACGTTTCTACTGAGCCCACTTGGCCTCCCGTTATTAGGAGGCCCAGTTAAGAGGCATCGATTTTCCTTTCGCTCTCTCACCACTCTCCTCTCCTGGGCGAGCCAAGCTGCCCACATCTTCTGCTCACAGCGCTCTCTAAACCTTTTAATTATTTAGTTGCTGTCGAATATCCTCCGGAAACCTCTCCATAAACAAGGAGAAACGAACGCACACACATTTTTGCTTAGAAGCCCGGAATTAAGATTAAGCACCGAAGCCGAAAGAAAAAATGAAAAATGCTTCCCCGCGTGTTGGTCGGGCGATGGATGCGCCACGCAGCGTGAGCCCGGCTCACAGCCACGCGTAACACTAAGCGCAGCCCTGGGTCCCGCGCGCCTAAACCTCGGATGCCCGAGAAAGAGCCGAAGAGAGCAGTCCCCGCGACAGAAACACTGCGGATGCCAGGTCTTGAAAATGCTAACTTCTGAGGCTAAGAACGATTTTAAAGACAAAAAGAAAAGGCTGGTGAAGAGGCCTTCCGGTGCAGGGGCGCCTCTCCGCTGATTTTGGATGGGGAAGTAGGGATTATTCGTTTAAATTCTAACGCCAGCACCGAGTCGGACGGGCCGGGGATGGAGAAGGGCAACATCCACCTTTAGAAAAATAAAAGATCTCCAAGGCCCCTCTCGGTCTGGGTGGTTTGAGGCTGGCAGAGAGGGGTGGGGGGCCTGGGGCTAGATGCCCCGGGTAATGGAGCCAGCCAGCAGGGGGTATTTAACATTTAATTCCCAGCCGGTCCGCCCCTGTTCCAGGACTGACAGTGGGTAATTGGGAGAGAGGACGTTGCTCTTTTGATGGCCCGCGCCGGCCAGTCTCGCCGACGCCACACTGGGTTTGACGTCACGGGCCCAGCCCCGGAGCCCAGAGCACAGGGCAGGGGGGGAGGGAAATGGAGGGGAGGGGGATACCGAGGAGGGAGGGCCGAGGTCGGCCCCGGGACCCACGGGGAAGGAAGGGGGAAGGGAGCGAGGCCGGAGAGGCTGCGGCGCGTGGCCTGAGGCGGAGAGCCGGGCTGCGGGGGTCCGAGCCAGGCCAGGCGCCGGCCTGACCCGCCTAGCCGGCAAGAGCAGGCCGGCTTCCTCCTTCTTTGGCGGGCGGGGGAGGGGAAGGGGGCTAGTGGCCGGGGGGAAGGGGAGAAAGGTGGTCCAGATTCTTCTCCCTGTGCCACCGCCGCAAAGCTGATCCTGGCCTCCTGCAGAGACGCCTGAGAGCCTTCCCTCAGTCCTGACGCGACCCCTCCCCAGGTAGCTGGGCCTAGGCATGGTCTAGCGGGTCGCCTTCCTCCCAAGTTGCAGCCGGCGGAGCTGGGGTGCGGAAAAGCGAGGAGGCGACCCAGGAAGATGCCGCCGTCGCCGCTGCAGGGCCCGGGGTTCCTGTAGGGCACAAGGCCTCCTTCACCAGGGTAAGGGGCTGGTGATCAACCTGGACGCCTGGGACCCTGGGAACAAGCATCCCAGAGCCGAGCAGGCGACGGCGCGTCCACCGCCTGGAGAGGAGCCTGGGCCTGGGGCGGCGTGCCGGGCGGCGGCAGCCGGCTTGGCCTATCTGAACCCCCAGGCCTGGGAGCGGCTGCTTTAGGCGTCAAGTTAAGTGGGGTATGAGTGTCCTCTGGGAGAAAAGGTGAGAAATGGAGTCGGACTTTCTCCCCTTGGTAGGGGCTAAGCTGGAATCCGCACACACCCGCAAACACATGCCCAAGAGCAAGACCCTCACACCCGTCCTCCCGGGGCAAAGAGACCCTGTCCCGGTGGAAGCGGAGAAACCCACTCCGGTACAGAAAGCGGAGACCGTGGCGCAGAGAGAAGGCGCAGCTTTCCCGGACCCAGCCCTAGGGTTACGGACCCAGGGCGCGGAGATGCTCGCGGCCGGCGCCACCCACCCGAGCCGGGCGATTGGCGCGTCCAGGCGAGCTCCGCGGGGCCGAGGTGCCGGGAGAAGCGGCCCCGGGTGCCCGCGCGCTGCCCGCCCAGGGTAAGCAGCAAAGCCGAGCCCCTGGGTTGAAGTCCTAAAGTTACTAATCCCGCGCATGGGGAGAAAGCGTGCCTCGGGCCGCCGGGGGCAGTCATTTGAGCGTGTTTACTTAAAGACTTTGCAAGAAGAGAGCGCGCGAAATAGTCGGATTTCCAGCAAGGCAGCAAATATTTGCAGGCGGGAGAGAGAAGCGGAGCAAGCTGCGCCGCCTAGTCCCTCCCGCCGGAGCCCCGGCGCCGGCCTGGGCGGACCCGGCCGCGCAGTTAAAGACAGAAGAGGAACCGGGAATCTGCGGGGCTGGGGGGCGGAGAGCGACACCAAAGGCCAGAAACTGGAGCCGGGCCCCAGGCCCCCGCGAGTGGGGACTGGGGGAGGAGAAGTCCCTTCCCATTCCAGCTCGATCAATCTTGCTGGGCTGCGATCGGTCAATAAAATCGGTGTGAAGCGGCCGCTGTCGCTGTGAGTCTGGGGAGGAAGTGGAGGCCAAAGGTGTCGAGGCCGGCGCCAGCTCCTGGCACCAGCTGGGTCCGCGAGTCCGCGGTCTGCAAGCCGCAGGCCTGGGGACAGAGCGTTGCAGGGAGTCTCGCGCGGCCCGGCGGGGCCTTTCATTGGGTGTCTCCATTTTAATAGAGGCCATTGTTCGAGCAATTAGCGAAAGACAGTAACCGCCCAGAGGCGTTTAATTCGGTTCCGCGCGCCCGCCGCGGTCCGCACCGGGGCGCTCTGGAAGAGTGGCCCAGGCTCCCTGCAAGGGAGGGTCCGCTTGGGGAGGCGCCGGCTCCTTTCCTTGCTCGTTTTTCCTTCGGTGTGGGAATTGGAAAGGGTGACTGGGGCAAGATGAAAGCCCGGCTAGGGCGACCTGAGCCAGGCCAGGGCGGGAAACCTGTCCCCGGCCTCGCTAGCCCACGCCGGGCGCCCCCGGGACCGCCGTGCGTTTCGCGGCGCGCGTCCAGCTGTGGCTGCCGCGCAGGTCCCCAGCGCCTGTTCAAACGAGAAGCCGGAGGACTGGACCGTGAAAACTGGCCTCCTTCCTCCTTAGCCCCAAGTCCCCATTTCTGTCACCCGAAACATCCAAATTTCCTTCCCTACGGTGGGAGGAGGAGCAAAGGAGAGACCCCGGGTAGTGGCGCGCGCATACCTCCCTCTCCAACCCAGCCAGCCTCACTGCCCCCTCCTCCGCCTCGGCCCCTGGATTAGGTTACCCTGGCCGAGCGAGGGTTTTTACTGGATAGGAGAATAGCACAGGTAAAGCTGTATAAACAGCTCGCCGGCTGCCGGGCGAGAGGGTTACGCCGGGGACACGGCTCCAGGCGCCACCGCGGGCTGCGGCACGGCGCCACGGACCGCGCAGGTTAAATACATATTATCTGTGCATCTCCCACCCAGGCCCCCGTTTTCTTTCCCTTGCGAGCAGGGAGCGAGATCTAAACGGGAGAAGGCAGCCGGGCCGTGGGCAGTGCTGGTTGAGGATGCCGGCCCTGCAAGGCTAGGTCTTTTCAAACAAAATCCACTGAGCTGGGAACTTCGGGGAAAACAGAGAAAGAGGGACCCTAAAACTCACTGGCAACAGGAACATGATGGAGGCGGGCGCGTCCCGGTGGCAGCTCTCCTCGAGGCTCCCACGCCCACACGTCCCGGGCCTGGGGTCTACCTTCCCGGAAAAATGAGCCATTGCTTTGGGGGTGGTATGTGGTTTGATTTACCCTTTTGTCTTTTTCTCTTTCTTTGCTTTCTTTTTTTTTCTTTTTTTTTTTTTTTTTTTTTTTTTTTTTGCTTATTCATCTATCATCGTTTAAAACTCGGAAGGAAACCAGCCCAGGCCAACAGGAGCCGCTAGCCATGGGGAGAGTCAAAAAAGAGGAGAAGCGTTAGATCACCGCCCCCTCGCACTCCGCCCTTAGCCTGGCCTCGGCTTTAAGTAGAGGGATCCTGACCCTCCTCCCACAGCCGCTACCACCGCCTTTTCCCCGGTTGAGAAAACCCCTGATTGTCGCAAGATAAAAATTGGGTAGGTAGGGGTGCAGCGGAAAGAGGGAGACGGGCAGGGAGAAGACAGGGGATTTCTGCCTTCGGGTTTAACAATGCACACGTGGGGGGCATCAGTTGCGGGGAGCCCCGGGTTGGGTAGGAGAGAAAGAACTCCCCTTGAGGGTGAGTGGAAAGGAACTGGAGTCACCCTGGAGGAAAGGTGCTCTTTTCGGCTCTCTCCCTTCCTCCTGGCCTTGGCAGGTTGGGGGAGAGGTGAGTGCCACCAGAGAAGAAGAAGGGATGGAGGCAGCCGAGCTGGCAGCCCTGGGTCTCCCCAGCTTTGGACCCCTTACCCTGCCCCCAGCGGCATCAGTGACTCAGCCAGGGGCTTGCTACTTCTAGACCCGGTCTCTCCTCCCTCCGAGGGGGCCCCTCAGCCACACCGCTACAGCACCCAGGACTCCAGACCCTGCACCAAGGAAAGGCTCCAGACGGGCAGAAATTCACCCATTTCAAGGCTTGGCCCACCAGGCCTTAGTATTGCCAGGTGAGGTGGGGTTCATGTGGGGCTGAGGCCGGCCAGTCTGAGTCACCTGCTTCACTCCCCCAGCCTGGCGCGGTCACCCACCAATTCACAGCCTCCCAGCCCCCAGCCCTAGCCTCAGCCGAGTCTCCTGGGGCTGCTTCAGTCTGGTGTTTTGGGAGGAGAAGGAGGGTTTTATCTGGGGACCATGGTGTTTTGACTCCTCTAGATTAGCCTAGGAATTGGAGTGCGATTGTAGCGGGACAATTGGGCAGGGGGAGTGTTCACAGCAGGGGTAGGAAAAGAGAGGGAGGGGGACTCCCTTCAGATCCAGGAGACAGTAGAGGCGGGCTTTTAAAAGCACAAACCGATTGTGTCTTCCTTTGGACCTGTTGGAGACCCCTGGTAAAATCCATGACTGTGCCTGGCTCAGAGGTGCAAAGGAGGAGGTTTGGCGTGCGCAGGCTTCTCCCGGCCTCACTTGGTCCCGGGTTCCCTTGGTGGTGCCGGGCTGCCCCCTTCCCGCTCCCTGCCGGCAACTCAGTTCCAGGCCGCTTTCCACCTTGTGGACCCCAAGCAATTTGTTTTATAAAACAAAACAGCCACGAGACGCCTATGCCTGTTCTTCACTAGTGCCAGCAGACCCGCAGCCACCGACACCCGGTGGACCTCAGCAGGGACGCCTTGGGCAACTGCTTCTTGCTTGGTGCTGTACCACCTCTGCACCCCCAGCTCCAGTCAGCCAGCAGCCAAAGCAAAAGGGGGTTCTTCGGCTTGTTCTCTCCGAGGCTGCAAAGCCTCTCTTGCTATTCCTACCATTAAGAAAAAAAAAAGAGGTGATGGGAAAGATTTGGTCTGCACACAAAGACATGCCAGGAGAAGAATGCACATTTCTGTGCAAAATGGCTCAGGCACCAATAATGAGACATCACTTTGGTGCAGCCTAGAAATAGTTAAAAATAACCCAGTGCTAGAGGACAGAGGTGGCTTCTGCCCCCCACACCTTATCCGGATCCCTAATTCCCTGCCACTTCCCATGGTTCCAGAACACAAACTGCTTTAACCTCCAAAAGAGGGGTTCTCAGCCACCTGGCTCCCACATACCTGCCAGTTCCCCAGGCACTCTGTGTGGTCCAGGGCAGCTGGACACCCCAACAGAAAACCCCTACCAAAGAATGCTCAGGGATGCCCACTTCTATCTCTTCTCTGCACCCCTGACTGTCCCCATGTCATTTATCTTACACAAGAAGGCAGGGTGCAAATGTCAAATAAAGAAAAACATAGCTTCCCAGGTCTCCCTGCTTTTGGTGGGGACAGAACAGCCCCAGTGCTGGGGCTGGCAGACACCTATTGTGCAGAGTGGAGGATGGGCCCACTCACTGCAGCCACTCCACATCCTCCAAGCCTTGCAGCTTCCTGGGCTGGGGACCTTGGGCTTTTCGGGGCAGCTGGCTGGAAGCTGGAAGCAGGGTCTCCTGCTTGTTGCCACTGAGAGACTCCATGATCAGACCCCCCACCTAGCGACCTGACACTCAGTGGGGTCTTGGTCTGAACTGACACCATGCCCCGACTAGGTTCAAACAGATAGAAAATAATTCCGTTCTTCTGAATGGCACAAACATGTCATGGTAAGCCCCAGCCACACACACATACTACCAGCCATTTGGGCCCCCAAGCATCTCATTTACAGACACCTGGATGGACTCAACCAGCCTGGCTAGACCCCCAGCCCACCCACTGCCACGGCCACTACCTTCTCTGCAGCAGCCGCTAAGCAGAGGAGGCTTCAGGAAATGCTTCTTCACCATGTGTCCCTTTTAAATTGTTAATCTCCCATCTGCAACCCCACGTCCCGGCCAGCATGGACAATGGGGAGGCAAGAAAGACCAAGAAACATGGGAACCAAACCCAGGGAGAGGCCGCACCATTAGACTCACTTCCACCCCTGCCCTTGCCAGAATCATCCGTGTCAGTTTCTTCAGACACCCTGTTGGTATCCCGGAGAAAGAAAAGGCGTGTATGATAGCAACTGTCCTGCCCAGATTCACTCCACTTCCCTGACGTTTTAACATTGTCTTCAAGGGCGAACTGCCGCTGAGTAACCTTTTGGAGGTCTGTTGGTCTGATGTCCCAGGAGTTAAGTCCAAATCTTGTCTTCTCTGCCCCTTCTGCTTTGGATGCCCCTGGGCGCCCTGTGGGGAGGCTGCGGTTTTCTCACCCACCTCAGGGTGCTCCTGGAAGCAAAGAAGCCTCCCGACCCCTAGCTTCCTTCGGGTATGCCAGATGCAGACACATCTGGGTTCCAACTTTATCTTACAGCACAGCTGTTTCTTTAATTATATGCAGAGACAATGAGCCTCAATACACACTTTTAAACAGAGGAAAAGAAACATGAAATTGAGACTGCAGCCACCTTTAGGAGAAAGCTCCTGGGCTCGGGGGTTGTTTTCCCCAATCCTCTACCCTCCTTGCAGTGGGAAATCTGTGTCCGACTCTTTCCAAGCATTCCCACCGGCTCTCATTTTTCCGCTGGGTTTTTCTTCACATCCCTACTTCTACCAGCTCTTTCCTGCAAACGAGGACATCTACACACTCACACACCATACTCGCCCAAGGTCACCACAGAAACCCAGAGAATTCCAGCGACCAAAAAAAGAACAATAAGAACTGGATTCTAGTTCAGCTTCTTTCAGAGGCAGTCCGCCCTTTGGAGAGGAGCCCTCCTCCTAATTCTCTCCACGTGGAGCGGGGAGAGGGCGTGCGGAGTTAGAGAGGGAAGAGAGTGATATTCACTGACCTGGGCAGCTCGCTCCCGAGGGCCAGCTGTTTTTTATTTTTTCCTGACTCGCCGGAGATCTGAAGGCAGAAATGACAGGCAGAGTTCGCCACTGTGGCTGCCGCTGCCGTCCTGGCCGCTGGAACTGCTCACCGCATCCCAGGCGGGCTTCCAGCGAGAGGTAAAACCTGGGCGATGTGCGTCCTTCCTGGGAGCCCCCTCCCCTCCGCCTTCCCTGCTCACTGTAGAGAGCGGAGCTCTTCCGGGTTGCGAAGAGGGAAAGGGAGGGAGGGAAGGAGACAGAGCGAGGGAATGAATTTCACCCCTTTTTGCAAACAGGCAAACAGCACATCAGGGGTGTGTGAAACTGACAGAGCTGGGGGGTGGGGAAAGGCGGCCTGAAATGTGACCGGCCCCTGGCGCCTGCACAGTCCTCTGTCTTCTGGCAGGGTTGGAATTAACACAATACTTGTCATCAGAAGTGTGGACTGGGTCATTACCATAGGTGTAAACCCATCTGTGATATTTTCCTTCCACTTCTGGGAGCACTGGGGACCCAGGGGGAGCTTGTCGGGGTCTGGCCAGTGGCAGCCAACAGCAGGGCCCGGAAGCTAGGGTCTCTGCCCTCCCGGGCTTTCCCTCTCCCTTCTCACTATTTCTCCTGTTTTT